GTCGTGGCAGATGTGATGGGGCATGGAGATGGAACGTTCGAATGACTCTAGAATGAGTCGTCATGATCTACAGTACCGAGGTGTCGTGACGAGGACACTGACAGGCGACGGTCGGTACCCGGAACGTTGTAATAACCGAAGGAGTAGTAATAATATAGGTGACGAGTCGTGATGGAACGTTCGACTCAGCCGCAGGTCTGAAGCGGGAAGTCTTCCCAGTTCTTAACACGGAAGTCTCAGTCCTCAGTCAGGAAACCTGCGGTATAGGATCTCCACTGATCCACATTGTCGTTACATAGTTACATCGGTATCTTCCGAGCCAGCACACTCGTACGAGACACCGTCTCGCACTTTCCACTTTCCTCGCTATTCAATGCAACAACGGAGTAGGCGACTCGAGTCGAAGCTGAACTACGCCGTAGAGACGCCATACGAGATACGGGATGCGCGGAGACCGAGAATACCGAGACAGGACTGCGCCGTACGGGGAGGTCGGTACAACGGGGGACCTTGACTCCGACCGACTCCGACCTCGCCGTTAACAAAGCACGCAAGTACCAAGCCGCCGTAAAGAGTAACAAGAGTCAGTCGCCGGAGGATTGAGGTGGGCTCTGTAACGAACCATCACCGCCTTTTACGCGAACCATCCGCTTGGGAACGCAGCGCATGAAAAGGACCCCTGGGGGGCTAACACCGCTCTTTTTGCTCCTACGTGGCCACACCATAGTAGAGGCTTGTGGTCGATATGTGCCCTACTCGCCCCGGCCCCCTTCTTCACCGTCATACTGTCTTCTCCACAGATGCGGCGTTGTGTTGTCCTATACCCTCGCTTCTGCACAGTGAGGGAGACCGCTTTTTTGACTTTCTACGTGGCCGAATTATAGGACGGTATGCTGTACTCGCCCCGGCCCCCTTCTTCACCGTCATACTCCTCTTCCTCTCCTGTTGCCCCTCTCCCTACCCTCCTTCTTCTGTCCCCTCCTATAGCTGCCCACGCCGTTGTTATATAGCCCACAATAACCCACTCTTCTGCGGTTCGAGGATATCGCGATTTTCGACTCCTACGGGATATATTATAGTGCAGACTTCCTGTCAATATGAGTGTACTCGCCCCGGCCCCCTTCATGCCCCCCTCTCCACAGTAATCGCAGCGTTTTCATGTATCCCAGTCTTCGCTCCGAGGAGCATAGAGAGGTGTTGGAGTAATTACGTTCCGCGGAGGGTGTGGAAGGGGAGCTTTGAGTTTGTCGAGTTTGGTAGGTTGGAGAGGAAGGCGCTCGGTTCGAGTGATGTGGGAAGAAAGACGGGCGGAGTGTCAGCAAATTAGATAAAGTTAGACGTGAAAAGACTTGGAGATAATGATATTTCATCAACATCTCTCATTGAAAGTGTATATCGCTAGAACAGCAGACAGCGTGCGGACAAACTAGGAAAAGAAAGCTACCTCAACTCTTTACATGCGATACCAGTCGCTCCATGTCATAACCTCATACCTCATATCTCATAACCCGCTCTACCTCTTCTCCTGAGGATAGTACGCAGGCTGACCCTCAAGCGACTCACCAACACCCTGACGGTAACTAGGCGGCGGTCCACCAAACGAAACCTGACCACCAGGCGTAGGAGTGCTAGACTGGTTGGGAGGGGCATTGTTGTTGGAGACACCGACATTTAGGTTCAAGTCGCTGGGCGTGATAGTGCCGCCATCGCCACCACCGACCATGACGGTCTGCTCGTTGCCCTTCTTGTCCTTGACCTTGCCGACGACCATGCCCTTGGCCACGGACTTGATGATGGCTTTTCTGCTGACGCCCGTGACGTCGATGTAGACGAGGCCGACGTTCTTGACGCCGCCGGCGAGGTTGGTGGTGATTTGTCCTGCTTCGGCGCCGTACTTGTGGCCGACAGCGGCGCTGGCTGCGGCTCCGCTGCTGGTCAGGAGTTGCTTGCCTGAGTGCGAGATACCGTCAGCGACCGTGGAGAAGGCGATCAAGCTCTTGTTCAACAGTCCTGGCTTGTAGTTTGTGTTGGGCGTGCCGTCTGGGTTCACGCTCTTGGCGTGTGTCTTCTTGTGGCCTGCCATTCCTGCTGCAGCATTCTGGGCGTACTTGGTAAGCTGGCCTACAGTCTTGGCTGAGTAGCCAGCGACGCCGGTTGTAAGGGTGTTGATCTTGCGGACGCGCTCGTGGGTGGCAGGCTTGAAGACCATGGGCTTCTCGTTCGGCCTCGTCTTGTTGATGAAGTTCTCGGCGCCGGATACCATCATGTTACTAAGGTAGCTGGAGCCGGTAACGACAAGGCGAGATGCGGCGGCGGCGTTCTGCACGAGGCCAGAGTCTTTGTATGCGGGATGGCGGGCCATTTCGAGGTAGTCTTCTTCGAGCGGTCGGATATCGATGCGCTTGCCATCTGGAGAGACGACAATCTCGACGGGATCTTGACCTGTGTTAGCATGAGTGACCTGCGCGCGCGGAAAAGGTTCAGATGACATACTCTTGGATCCCTGCTGCAATGCTGGGTCGGCGTGGATCATGGCACCCTCGGCCAGCTCACCGACAACGCTGCCGTTCTCCTCGTCGACCAAGACGACCTCGCCATTGTTCACAGCGCCTGCGTAGCCCTGGCCTGGCTGGTAGTCCTGGGGGTTGTATGCCTTGATGTCGCCCTTGCCCTTCTCGTGTGAGGGGGCCTGCGCACGCTCGAGGAAGGCTGTGCACTGTGCCAAGATAGTCTCAAAGGTATCCACATCTTCCTGCGTGACCGATGTCGAGCCCTTGCCAATTGGCGGGAACTCAATGCGTGTGAAGGCGCCGCTCTCTGGGCCCAAGTCCCATCGCGGTATCAGGTAGCTGCGCGGTGGCTGGTGGTAGATCTGTGTCGTCGCGGGGAGGGGGAGGTCTAGCTCCGGGGGGAGGTTGAGGTGTAGGTAGAAGTCTTCTTCGGGCGCTTCGTTCTGGCCGCGCGTGTTGCTGAGGTCTGCAAAGGGCGAGTTGGTGGGGACCATCAGCAGCGAGAGCGTCTGCGGCCCTGAGGGTGTGAGAGGGCTCTCCTCGCCCTGCTGGATGTGGTAGGCTTTAATGCCGCCGACTGTGTAGAGCAATCGAGGATCTCCATGGCCGCTCATGCTTGCGAGACGTGTTTCGCGGGGTATCGAGGTAGGTTGGTGGGTGAAGGAGAGATGAAGGGACAATTAGGTGTCTGTCGAGGGATATGGGCAGGAGGGGTATCTTCTATTTCGGTGTACGAGTGCAGGAGCAACAACCTTTTTATGGAATGCAAGCGACAGGGAGTCGACTGCCCATGTGCAACCTGCTCGAGACGCCGCGCTTGCGACAGGCATTCTGACGTAACCATGCTCAGCCACGGGGAGCTCTGAACTCGGCCAATCAACGCTGTGGCTGTGCACTGCGCCACATGGAGGCAAACATATCTTCTGTGTGTGAAGATGTGTACGGTCGTATTTCCGCCTCCAAAAGATTCGCGAAGCGTCTTTGCCCCTTCACATGCGAGATGCGCCCGTCTTGTGTTGATGATCTGCTGTGCATGCGCCTCGGAACGCGTCATGCACGGACGACTCACGTCTTCACGCAGGGTAGTCGCCAACAACCCCGCGACTTCATCGTGTACTTCTTGGTGAAGCATCGTCTTTCCAACAAGAACAACGTCAGCAGCTTTCGTCATCTTGCCGTTGCGGTTAGATTCACCTAGCTCCCGCTCTGCATCCATTCCCCCATTCGTCTCGTGGGACTTCGACTCCTGCCATCATCTCGACTGTCGCGCTTTCCTGCTTTTTCGCTTCCCTGGCATAACGCACCCTGTTGAATACAATGTGCACAGAGGCTCTGCGTTGGTAAGGTGGTGAGACGTATGCACCATGGTCGGCAGCGGCCTGCACCTTCCGTAGGAAACGCAACTTGGTACTTCGCGGTTTCCGAATATGGTCACTTCCATTACTAGGTCACCTGCTCCTTCTGTCTACAGCTCATTGGCGATGGCTTCTCTCGCCTTCTGTCCCCCACTCGTAAACAATGCATCGATACCAGCAGACCGACCCATCAGCCACCTCCCAGCGCCCGCCCTCATCATTAACACGGCCATCAACCGACCGATCTGAGCATCGTGAAGATCCGCGAGGGCTACTCTGCTCTACAGATCTGAGCGCACCATCATTACTCACCAATGTTGCAAAGACTTTCGTCATGGCTTCGAAGGAGCCACATCCCTCCTACTCACTTGTCACCAGATCTACTATGAAGCTGCTGGAGCATTTTACCGTTGGAACTCCTTCAAGGTCTTTAGATTCGGTATTCGACATGATTATGACACCCGGTTGCACGAAACTTATCGAGATCAGAAAAGTTACACCCAGACTGCCTTTGCAGGCGCTTGGCTGGTCAGCCTCAGTTCACAGGTACAGTTTCTCAGGACGATCGTCTTAGACGTTGATATCATGTGTCCGGTCATCTGCCGCCATCTGCTATATCTCGCCGTCTGTTACAATTCCTTTATCTGAGACAACGCATCCTCCCCATGAGACTGCTGCAACATCTGCTTGTAGTTTAGCTACATAATCACGTGTGTCTTGGCATTCGTCGAGGACGGGAAGGCGTGATGGGGGCCTGGAGCAAGCCTCAACTTGTTTACAATCGTCACGGCGCGTCCTTGAGCTGCATCTCACCTCTTCGCTCGTTGGCACCGTAAATTCCCGCCGGCAAGCTTGAGCCTTCCACGACTGCTCTCGTCTCTCTGGGCGACGACCCTCCTGTCACATTTTGCAAGGGCAGAGTTGCATGCTTGTCGCGAAGAAATATCAGCATTCGCTCTCAGATTCGACGTCGCCATATTCCACTCGACCGCGCTGCGGGCGAGCACCTCAGATCTGTACATAATCGTTTCTGTCCTCGTTGGCGTTGCTCGCGGTAGCTCACGACTCGTCGCTCTTTCGTCGCGCATCGTCCATAGCATAATTCCATCCAACTGAGTCCAGCACCATCGCCAGGATGCAAATTCCAAAGCGAGACTCACACCCAGCCGATCCAAGCGAGCCCTCATTCCTTGACCGGCCAGGCGAGATCCGCAACTTGATTTACGAACAGTTGTTCAAGCGCGCCAAACCAATCCTCCTTCACAACACCGATGCTTACCATGCGGTCGAACCCAAACGAAGGAATTACGAAACAGACCAGGAATTCTACGCCTTAACAACCAGGTTCGACACGGAATTTGAATCCAGAATCGGCGCCGATGATGAGTTCACACACGATTTCCACTTGGGATTACCGCTGCTGTTGGTCTGTCGACAGGTTTACCATGAAGCGGCCAGTGTGTTTTATAGCGACAATACCTTCGTTTTCTCGCGTGTGCTCGATCGCCATGATGGGAGAAATAACCCGCGCTATGACGACTTCGATGGGAAAGCTTATCATCAGTTCGCATATGCTTCCGTATGGCTATCCAACATTGGCAGTCAGTTTGGGATGCTAAAGAAGGTACATATCGATGTCGACGCTATGTGCTATCCCGCTTGCAAGCATCAACTTGATGGTTTCGATGCATTGCCTTTGTTACGATTGCTTTGGAAGGATGGTGCAGAAAAGTCACCAATGACATTCGCTTGCACTCGTAGGAGACTGGACCCTGAGTGCGAGAACGCTTTTGCACGGACTGATGAAAGGAAGAAGCGGTATGAGGAGCAGAAAATACAGTACCCGAAGAACTTGGTCAATGACTTCAATGCAATCGTCTCCAGTTTGATCGGAAACGGAGAATTCAGTCTGCAAAGATTCGCCAATTTCGACCGGCTTATTCACTTTGTCAGCATGCATTTTACGGAACGATACATGCGAGTCACATTTGACAAGGAACATAGTCACTGGAGGGAGTTCGCAGTCGACCAGAATGGAGACGTCATCATCAGACAACTGGGCTCAAAGCCACGCCACCTTCTAGACCTTCCTCGAAGTATTCTGTCAAAGATCATGAAACTAGCGGCACTATCGCCTGAAGGTCCCATACTAGACATGGACAATCATACCATACATGGGCTACAGCTGAATATCTGGCAGCTCAGCAGGGAGTCACGTTCTGACTTTATGATCAGGAACATGTTATCTCACAACACAAACGTTACCATGGTCAAAACGAGTACCAAGAGTAGGACCAGTTTCAAGGACTTCCACTTTTTGCGAGTACACTGCCTGACACGTCCTTGTTGCTTCTTCGTACCCAGATGGGATAGATCCATCGCGTCATTCAACATCGCTCTCGTCTTCGAAACCGCCGCCGCAACATCACTAAGCACGCTGCGTATCAACATCGTAGGCCTCATAAAGGCGTTGAAAGATGCCGCAAAAGAACAGGTGAGCATCTCCATCTCGCTCAAGCGCCCAGGGGCAGATGCGTGCGAAGGAATGCATAGTGGCAAGATTCCCCTGCCAGATCTGGAGCGAAGAGTCTTCTTGCTCCTATCTGATGTCATAGCTGGCTGGGACGTTGCAGAGGACAAGCTACCGGATATCTGGATGGACGGGCACGGGAAGCTCATCAGCGCGACGTACTCTGCTTCTGCTACTGTATTAGCTAGCCGCGTTGAGAACCGGCATGCGAAGCTCAAATCAGTCGAGCTGCAGCAAAGAGGGTACCAATTTGCTATGGACCTGTCTAATGACAAAAAGGACGTGGAAGGGGGTCGACGCGCTATGTGGTCCGCGCTCCGAAAAGAGTATTGGAATGATTGGCAGGATTCGGCACGGAAGGAGAACGGAGGAGGACAGATTGGACATATATATAAGGGAGAGAGATGAAGCCATGAGGAAACAGTCTGGTTTCGACTTGAACGAATATGAAGAGCGAAGGCTGGGTCAAGGGGGAAGCTTGAGACGGGGTATCTGAGGACTACTCCGTGATCTATTCCGAGCGAGAGAGGATTGAGAAATCAGGAATTATGCGATATGAGGGGTAGAACAGCAAGAGAAGCGGAGGAAGGACTAAAGAGGATGCTCATTTAATGGACGCCACGAAAGCGTTTAATGACGATCAATATCGGCAACCTTAAAAAAGCTCGCCTTCATAGAACGAGACAGAACGATACCGTATATACACTACCTTGACTTCACGCATACGCGCTAGAACGAGTTCCCTCAGGAACAGAACAATGCAATAGCCAGCCACGAAATCACAAGACGCAAAAATACAACTCACAATGACGCACGCAGAGTGATTTAACAAAACAGCCAAAACAGAAGTTCACAAGAGGCTGAAACTGCTTTACTATACCCAGAACATGCGTGACGTACACCTCCGTTCTTTCTTCCCGTCTTCCAGTTTCACAAAAACATGAGTGACATCATTTCCGTGACAGGAGGCGAAACAGAGGAAGAAGCAAGAACGAGAGAGATGAGCGCGGGTAAGAGTGTGAGAAACGTGGGAGATGAGGAGCACGTCATCAAGTGAGCTCGAGAATGCAGTATAGAGAATAGAGGACAAGAGATGCAGGTTTTGAAAGTGGGTATAACCAGGCAATTATACACACTCCTCAAGTACTCAAAACACACACACACGCAATGCTAGAACGCTACAAGATATAACCAAACAACTGAGCGATGCGCTATGCCACGATGCGATAGCAAACAAACAGCCATACGGCTCCTAAGAGCGACTACCGTTCATAGCACTCGCCGGCAACTCGCCACCCCTAATCTCACTCATCGCATACCCAGGCCGCCACGCAGGATGGATGTCGTTCAACGCGCCTCGAGTGCTATCCCGTACATTTGTCGTGTGTCTCGGTTCCGCTTCAACGATGTAGCTTACGCCGTCTTCTGAGGCGTAAGAAGGGGGGCGGGGACCTTCGTGCTGGGGCGGTTGGTGTGACGATGTTGAGGCTGCGCTGCCGCGGAGAGACGCCGCAGCGAGAGCCGCAGGACCAGAGAGCGAGGCACGAGTAGAGTGAGCAGCAGCAGAGATGGCACTACCCCTTGTCGCATCCTCAACCCTCTGCCAATGAAGCAAATTCGGATCAACCCTCACACTACTCCTCCAAAGGCCATACGCGGGCGGCGGAGGCGGCGGCATATTCTTCCCCCCATCCTCATCCCCACTCGCACCCACCATGTCGTTCTCCAACACGTCATCCATATCCGCGTCTTCTGCGCTTTCCTCGTCGCGACGCAGGTGCACGCGGATGGGGACGATGGGCTGGAAACCGTCGCCGCCGCCCGTCATGTCGGGCATGGCGGCGCGGTGTTCGTGGCGCGGCGGGTTCAGCATGAGCATGCAGAGGCGGATGAGGGAGTGGCAGAAGAAGATTGTTATGGTGAGGAGGACCATGATGAAGAGGATGTGGATTTCTTGGCCGAGGGACCGGTTGGTTAGGGCGATTGCTAGGTCTGTTGGGGGTTGATGTTAGTTGTTGATACGTATTTGGGGTGGGGTGGGATGGGATGGTAGACTTACAGATTGCGAGGATGGTGATGAGAAAGGTGCCGGATATCACACATGCGATCATCTTCCCGCGTGCGGCTGATCCGCGGATGTATACTGCGGTGGTGCCGCGCTGTTCTCGCCTGCGTACCCATCCGTTGGAACCGCTGGATGCGTTGGATGCGGATCGTTCGGTGCGATGGTGCTTTCTCCTTCGGTGCTTCCGTCGCTTGTGTCGTCGGCCGTTTATCTCATCTTGTAGTTGCTGGATCTCGGGGTCTACGAAGCCCTCCTGCTGGCTGGGCAGTGGTACATCGGCTGGGTGACGAGCGTAGAGTGTTGTTGGTTCCTGCGGGTCTTGAGGCGGGTTGATGGCGCCGATGTAGGAGCCCGCTGTGTGATGCGCATGAAATGGAGCCCTCGAATCATGTGATTCGCGATGCGCGTTCTGATGGGTGGGCAGGCCTTCCTGGTTGGCCGGTTGTTGACGGTTCCAGAAGCCCAGGAAGGGCGTTTTGGGTGTGTTGATGTTATTGTTGTTATTCATAGCCGGCGACTGCGAGTATATCGACGACCCGTTGACCATCCCCCGCACATTACTGCGGAACGCGCTGAACCGAGATGTCGACTGCGTTGCCGGCGTTGCGTCGAAGTCCTGGTTCTGGTCTGGCCGCGGCGACCAAGCGAAGAGTGGTGACCGAAACATGGTGATCCGTATATAGCGCGGTGGGTTCCCTCAAGTCCAGAAATATACGGTTACGAGCCCCCAAGTTCTATCTTGGGCGTACGTGAATCCCTTATAGCAGACGCGTCGTGCTAGCCGAAGGTCTCCGTGTTGATTTCACTCAAGACAAGACAAGGGCGAATAAGAGAAAGGATACTCCAGAACCAATGCAGGAACGCCGCGTACCCGAACCGTTTCCAGGAACAGAAAGTGTGGAGTGAAAGAACAATGAATGGATCTCGCCCTTGCCCAAGACCCTACCCAGCATATGCAAAGTAATCCAGTTGGAGCGAACCGTTTGGCTACCAACTTCTTAACTTTCTCGAAAAGTCGTCGAAACAAAGATCTTCCTAGACTCTGAAAGTAGTGAATAGTAAAAGGGAAAAGAGTGGGAAAAAAGGACCAGACAGGGCTATCCAGCAGCGCACCTCGGCCAAACGAGCGCAAAAGAATGAAAAGAAGCGAAACAAGCAGGAGCACAGCAACCGCTACCTCTATTACCAATGACTGGAAGGAAAATAGATGCAAGACAAACACGAAGGGAATGAAAGAGTAGGAAAGTAGGAGGTGGTCGCGCGGTCCGCACCAAGATGACATGGGTCACAGCGTCCCAATAGCGATGGACGGTCAGAAGTCGAGAAAGCATTGAGCGCCATGCGTTTCCGCGACGAGTGGCGTATCAGACTTTGATCGCTGGAAAGGTGAAACGCGTCTCCGCCATCAGCCCGGCAGCAGCAGCGATCCAGGACGTGTCACGGACCGCGGTTCGCGTGTATCGGTGCATCAGATCTGGGTGTTCTCGATTCCTCGAGGCCTGTGGTGGTTGACCGGAAAAGACGCTGGTAGCAAAAGCGTCAGGCCCGCAGCACGCTGGTTGGCTCGCACAAAAACAACATGAAACGTCTACCCCAATGAGGAACGACTGAGCACCAGTAGCTTCGCAAGTGTGCTATTTACGTGCAACGGCATTCATAACGGTGCATAAGACGCGGGTATTCATCTTGATTGACTTTGGTTGTATTTTGTTTACTCTTTACATTGTCGATGGTGTTGCGCGTCATCATTGTCCAAAAGCAACATGCGGGTCGTTTCCTCGACGCGTCTTTTGACCCCTTCCTTCGCTGTGTTGTGGGAAGACAGTACATGCGACTCCGTACCCTGTCAAATGTCGCACCGGCGTATCCAGTTCTATATGTAAACAACGTCTTCTGACGTACCGTGGGGCCGGATGTTCCTCGGGCCTTTCTCCACGCTTTCCTCGGTCTCCACGCTCCACTGGGGATTTCATCTCGAAGCATGTTTGCGTAGCCAAGTTGCTTCCTACGCACCAAGTTGCTTCACCTCCACGTTCACTTGCCTAGCTCGCCTACCATGAGCTTGCGGTCTGAAGATGCGGATACCACTAAAATTGCCAAGTTAGCTTCGTGTTCGAAAGATCATAGCTTAGTGTTCAGCGGTGAAGAGTGTCAATGCGAAGGACTACTCTCCTATCCGCCTCAAGCGCTAACAATCGAAATTGTTCGCTCGTTCTCCAAACCCAATCTGCCATGACCACCATCCAGTCGGAAAGCTGAAGCGTAGCGCGGGGTCCAGAGCGGAGAACAGGTAGAGGGACGAATGCAAAAGGAGATTTAGGGTACTTACAGATTGGTTCACCGAGCGGGTGGAACCGCACGTCGTTGACGGCACCTCGATGGCCGGGAAGCTTGTGCAGTAGCTTTCCTGTCCGGGTTTCCCAAACGGCCACGCTCTGGTCGCCGCTACCGGCTGCGATCTTTTCGCCCTTGGAGTCCCAGCTTGCCTTTAGCAGGTTGCGTTCTTGGCCGGTGGGGGCTCCGTCGTATGTTTGGATGCGCCTATCTGCCGGCGCAAAGGGTCTCACGTCCCATGTTCTGACGGTCGAGTCGTGTGCGTTGGAGAGGAGGGTTTGGTTGTCTGGGGACATTTGGAGCGAGGTGACGGTGTCGGTGTGGCCGAGGAGTGTGTATGTGACGGCTTGTTTCCGCAGATCCCAGACTTTGATGTCGTTGTCGATGCCGCCGGTGAAGAGCTCGTTGCCGGCTTCAGCCAGGCATATAGCGGTTATGGGGAAGTCGGTGGGGATAAATGTTACGGCATCCTTCGTTCTCGTGTCCCAGATCTGCGAGAGTTAGAAATGTCCCGGGACGATATACTGATGCACTCACCCCGATGTAGCCGTCGTCGGACCCGCTCACAAGCATCTCTTCACCGCGCTTGCTCACGTCCATGCAGTTGATAACTTCCTCGTGCCCTGGGTGTCTTCGTATCCTCTCTCCCGTCTCCACATCCCAACTTGCTAGGTGCATGTCTGCCGAGGCAGAGAAGAGAACCTTGGAGTCGCGCGACCAGTGCAGATCCAGGACTGCCTGCTTGTGTCCAGTGAGAATGCCGTAGTTTTCGCATGATCCAGAGCTGCGCCAGAGTACTGTTCATGTCAGCGCATATCTCTCACGTGTTCACAGATGACTGACATATAGACCGGTCCATGGAGCCCGAAGCTATGTACTGTCCTGTCGGGTCGAAGCGCGCGGCGAAGATCTCGCCAGAATGGCCCGTCAACTCCATAACCGGCGACTGCAGCGCGCTGGTACGCGAGCCCTACAGCACCTGTCAGCACGTCGCAATCTTCAGCTTGGT